AAAAGGTACACGATTTTAGTTCAGCTTCTCCAGTATGTATTTGTATTAAATTAGATCAGTGCAACAGAAGATGAAAAAACAGCCAGCCTGTATCATTTAATTCATTGAAGGCACAAAGCCATTGGAATATTCCCTCCTGAGATAAGCCCTTCTGAGATCTGCAGAGTTACACTAAAAGCTCCTCTCTGCTTAAATTTCAAAGCAAACTGCAAACTCCCAAAGTGATTTGGAAGTCTACAGCCCAGAGTCAGCAGGAGAGCTGTAGCCATGTGGACTGTCAAAGCCTTGCAAGGCCATGTGTCTGTCAGCCTCTCAGAGCTGCAAAACCTGTCAAGCCATGACAGACATTTTTCTTTAAACCATCTCAACTACAGAAAGTCCCAATCTAGCCACAGCCCTTACAAAGATTGAGCTTTCTACTGAATTCCTACTGAGATGAAATTTGCCCGTTCCTTTGGCAAAAGATTTTTGTAGTGGTGATGAAGCCAGAAGAAAATGAAATAATTCTTCTGTGCAAACACAGATTTTCTGGCCAGAGCCAGTAACTCTCATTCAAAACCAAGTGACTCAATTTTAAAAGTGCATTTCTGGACCCGTGTTATATAGAAGTTCTCTTCAATTAATTAAAAACACCAAGAAAAGTATAGTGTCGGTTTTCAAAACTTTAGCAAGTTTGATTTTTCCAAGGAGTTTCACCCTCCTTTCTGAGGCTGTGACTCTGAACCCCCAAAGTGAGCCCATGTGGCAGGCACTGGGCTAGAATGAGCTGCTGGATGATACAGAGACATGGGAGGGCACATGGAGACACTGGCCAGGGACTGGGCTAGGAAGGGAGTGCATTAAGTGGTTTATTGTAGGATTAGACCTGGTTTTCCATGCTTTGAGGTTTCCTTCATTCCAGAAGGAAGTCCCCCCATCCCTGGGGCAATGGCAACAAGAAAGTCCCAGAGCAGCTCTTCTCCTCCCAGCATCTGAGCTCAGCGTGTTCAGACAGCACATTCAGGGTCTTCCTCTTACTTCAATAACTAAGGAAAGGCTTCCTTTCACCCTATTCCAGGTGTCCATGAGTTCTCAGCTTCCTCTCCTCCGAAGGAGGAGGCAGCATGTCCCAGGATGGAACTGAGGAGGCACAAAGGGACATCAAAATTCAGACAACATAAATCCCTCCCAGGACATCTCCTGGGACAAGGAAGGCTGAGCCTGTGCTGTGCCAGTGTCTTACATCCCTTCCTAAACAGCCAGGGCTCTTTTCTGAAACAGGGCATGACCTCCCCCAGCAACCTGAGCAAATGTGGTACCAAAGAAATCCCTCTGAACCGTTTGCCCTGAATATAACCCAAACAAACTGCTGAATTGCAATGGGCTGAGGGATAGATTTTTAAAGGTGTCTGAACGCACAAAAATGAAAAAGGGCATTAAGTGGGTTTTGTTTGTTTGTTTTTTCACAACTGCCTTAAATTGCTTTAATTTCATCTCCAGGGTTTCATTTCCTTCTGAGAAATCCTCTTAGGTGCCTATTTGCATCTTCAGGCACATTCTGCAAATCTGGGCTATATTGCATAATGAGTTTTCTCTCCTATCTCTTTCAGTTGAGAACCACACATTTGCCTAAGGAATTCTCTGTGGAGCTGAAATCTGTTAGGATTATAAATACAGGCTGAGCTGGGAACAGGCACTGGAAACTGCCATGAAGACCATGAACAGAAAACAGTGATTCTAGTCACACAAGATACCTGATATAGTTGGCAGGAAGGCAAAGCTAAACAAATGCAGGTTTACATTTTACTATTTAAAGAATAAAATATTCAACTTGAGTTCCATTAACACCTGTCACGACTCTGGTACATACTCAAATCCACATTTCTAATTTTACTGCTAAATAATCCCAAACTTGGCAGTTGGAAGGTAAAGCAAAATACCCAAGCTAAACATCTGAAGCAAATTGTAGCTCTCTGGAAGAGCCCTTCTGCTATATAAATGAAGGTCATATGTACAAATGATTAGAAGCTTAAGGAAATATGTCTTCTGCTTTTCTAAATTGATAACATACATATTGCATTAATATTCCCACATCAATTATTGGACACGTTCCCTGCTGTAAGAAAAACGCTATTTTTTTTTAAAATAATAATCCCTTGGAATAATATTCTTATACCAGCACAATTAACTCTTGCCACGCAGAGGGGAAAGAGGTTGATTTAATAAACTGCATCCAAAAAGCGTCAGTCCCTGGAGATGCCACCACCACCTGGGTGCACCCTGGTTTTGGGGGATGGTCAACAAGATGCAAGAGTTGTCCTTTCCCTGGTGAAAAAGGGACAGAGGTGACAGGTCTTGTTGGGGATGGGTTGGGGGGGAAGCAACCCAGATCCTCTGCCTTTGGTGTTACTGCCATGGCAGCTGCACTGATGGCAAACCTGGGAGCTCTGGTTATTTACCAACAGCAAAATAAACCCAGCAAAAAGACTCCTGAGACACTTGTTTCCTCTCTGCAAGGAGCAGCTTGTGCTTGGCAGCAGGCACTGGACAGGGTCTGACCCCAGGAGGATGGAGGACCCCCAAGTGCCCAGGCCCTGCCACGGCCCCACGGCTGAACTCGCACAGGGTCAGGGCAGTGCTGCTGCTGGCGACAGTCACCCCTTCAGCTGCCACTAAGCCACACTTGCCAGAAAGAACTTAATCCCAGGGCTCATAAAAATACTTCTGAAACACATTTTTTTCCTTTTGAAGTGCACCAGACCTCACAAAATACCAAGTATTTTCCATAAATGTTCCCAAGCTAAAATACACCTGAAGTCATCTTCACGCGTCTGGCAATGGGATAACGTATCCCATTACACCCTGAGCACCCAGGGCATGGCTGGAGACCCCCGTTGCCAAAGGGAGATGGTCTTGGCAGGGACATGAGAGAGCCCAGCTCTGGTGCTCCTTGCTGAGGATGGCAGAAGAGTCACCAATTCATCACAGCTGACGCTGAGCACAGCAAGCACAAAAATGCAAACAGTATTTATCACTTCTGACAGATTCCTCTATTTTCTGCTTTTTATTAGCTGACAAAGTCAGGCTCTTTTTGCCAGAGACAAAAGTCACTGGGCTGGGGGGTGGAGGGGGGAACAGGGGAATTATTTCCATTGAGAAACACTTCTGTATTTTTATCAAGCATCAGAACTGCGAGAGATCACAATTACAGTGGCCTGTTACAAATTACGGTGCCACTTCCAAATTTTGCAAGACCGTAGCCTCAAATCCCATGTTTTCTTGTCCCAGTGGATGGAGGTGTGTTCAGACTACAGGAAAAGCTACTGGAAATCGCTTGCCTACTGAACACCACCTTCCCTGCACGTTGACAGTCCTGGACTTTTCTGCTATTTCTCTTTCTCACAAGAGGGAGCTCCGGCTCTGGAATAACGGTATGAAAACATCCTACCCGGACCCTGCTTCTCTGCTGCCTCTGAAAACGCCCATCTCTTGTTCGAGGTCAGGCTCACCGGGCTCCTTTTGCAGTTAAAAAAACACCCATCAACAAGAGCTTGAAAATCAACATGAATTCCAACAATCAAAAAAGTTACCACTGTTATCAATTTCCCAGAATTTTCCTAGCGAATTCAATGGTTTTGAGCAGTGCCAGGAAGAGTAGTGATTGTCTCATAACTTTTGTCCCCTCTAAAATCAGATGGGCATTATGGCTGAGCAACGACATCTGATCATTCAGAAGTAATAAAATGGAATTAGACAACAAGAATACCAATAATCTTTATAATGTCCATTATCAGTATCTTTCTGATGTGAAGACCCCACAGCAAATCCCAGCATTTTGCACAGACTTTTCTTTAACCCCTCTCTCTATCCAAGTCCAATCCTGTCTCCTACCCAGACTCTTGGCTAAACTGGTGTCACCAGAGGATCGTGTGGGCACACCTTGGATTTCTGTGCTGATCTCATTTTTCACAGTATTAAGAAAAAAGTCCCCTCCCAAAGGGTTTCCTACTAGTAACAGCTCTCCCTCTCAGCTCTCCTCCTTCCAGCCCAACCCAGGTGGCCCCACGCAGCCACTGCACAGTTTGGGGGCTTAAAAATAAGTTATTGCAACACTCAAAGGCAGAGAGTTTATGTCAGGAACACTTCAGCACCCAGAAAACTGAGCTGGTCCAAAATCCAAACCCGAGACTGTGTGTCCTTGGGCTCCCTCTGCTGACCCCAGGATTATTTACAGATCCAAACCCATGAGGTTTTGGATGAAGCATGAAGCTTTACTATCACAATGCTGTCTGTAGTATTTCCAGTAATCCAGACATGTATCCCCAGGCTGGTACCAGGTGGACAGGGCTCCTCTGGGGCAGGGGCAGAAGGATGTGCTGGAGACTCCTGCTTTTTAGGGAAACCAAACCATGATGGGCCCCACACATGACCCAGACAGAAGCAACTGCCACTCACAAACCTCAGGCAGCAGTGACAGGAAAAGGGTCGTGCAGCTCAAGGCTTGGAGCCCTGGAATCTCACTGGATGAGGCCCCCAGGCAAAGTGGGGCCAGGTTGAAAATCCTTCTGATTTACTGTAAACGACAACTCTGTCTCAAAAATATAGATCTGCAAAGATCTTCTGTGACCAGCAATCCAAAGACCTTTGTATTTGTCTAAGCCTGAGGTAAAGAAGGCCTGAAGGCTGCGTGGGGTCTGCACAGCATCGAGGAGCCACCTCCCAGCCCCGTGTTCATCCCCTGCACTCGGAGCTGAGCCGGAGTAATTAAATGCAGCACAGATCTGTGACATAGTGTGAACAGGAATATAAAAAAGATTAAAAGGCGACTGTGGAAAGCTAGCGTGCTCCTCACATAATTAAAACAAGTTGCTCAAAGGCTGCTGCTCGCCTGCTGGCACAGAGGCTCCAGCAGGTTTGCAGGCTGGGCAGGGCAGCAGTGCCGGTCCCAGGCAGCGGTGCCGGAGCTGGCACAGGCACCCGGAGTCACCCGGGCTGTGTCCGGGCCCTGGGCACCTCCCTGCCTTCCCTTCCTCAGCACAGCCCCGAGCAAGGTGCAGCCTTGCTCTGCCTCAGTTTCCCTCCATGTAAAGCATGTTAACACGCTCACTCCCAATTTTAGAAAATGATTTTATATCCGTGGATTAAGGATTTTATATCCACGGATTAGGGGTCTAAAATTATCTCGCTGACTTCCCTATTCAGCTCAGCTTTGTTTAATTAAGACTCTGATTAACTGCAAGAGGGAATATGAATTTGGTGCTAGCTAAAGGTTTCCTCAGACAATGATAAAAGTCTGTCTTTAAAAATATCCATTTTGTTCACAGTCTATGGCAAATACAAATGCAGTACAGTCTATTTAATACAAAATGTTTTTTTAAATACTATTAGCACCACATAAAACCTTTAGCCATGCAATAGATTCCCTCTAATCCTATTTTATTTTCTCTAAATATTTTATGCTATTTCTATGAAACGTTTATTATACAATAAATACAAAATATTTCACTGCAGCAATTATGTCTGAATTGCCATTTATATTAGACAGTTTCAAACACTATAATCAATATAAATACATTCTTCTATATTATGTCAGAAAAACATTGGTTTAAAGAAACTTTCGAAATATTTTTTCTTTTTTTCCCAATAAAACTAATGCCTTACTTCCTTTCTCAGATCCATTTTAAATACCCAGCAGATTCCAACAGTTACAACTTAAACATTTGAAAAAATCCAAAAGAAGGAATTCACCATTTCCCTAAACTTAAGAATATAAAAAACACATGTCAACGTCTAAATAAAAACTATCAAATACTGAACTTTCTGCCAAAGTGGTTCTAGCAGTTATAGAAAATCAAAGTATATAAACAAGGGTAGAGGTCCCTTTGGGGAAAAGGAAAAAAAAGAAAGTTCTGAGTTCTGCAGCTCTTACTGAGTCACTTTATTCCCCTCCCAATTTGAAATTTTAGGGAAATGATTTTCTAGTATGGCTGAAAGTACCTCAAACAATCTTTACTTAGGGATCACAGTGGAGAAAACAACTGCTCCCCAGGAGCAAACAGCAAACACCCAAACCTGCCTGGCCACCCCTGTGGACTTTGTACGTGGCAGAGCCTGTTGTGTTGGGTCTCTGTTTTTTGCTTTTCCAGAGGTGGAAATTCATCTGTGGGGAATATCAATAAGAAAAGCTCGTTGAGGAGTTTGAGTACCCCTTGAAACACAGAGACCACTCTGCCATTAAAGCCACTGGCCTTCATTATTCCATTAAGAAGGAGAAGAGGTTGAAATGGTCAGGTAGGTGATGGATTTGCATCTTTTGCTTCCAGGACTAAATTTCTTTATGCTAATGTGCAGTTTCTCATCTTGTAAGCTGGCTCTGACTTGACTGCACAGTGAGTAACAGGAGGCAGTGCCAAGCATTTCCCTTCCAACCACCATCCTGTGACAGCAGCACAGTCAACATTTGCACTGGAATTCAGTATTACAGCAAGAATGGAAAAAACCTCGTCAGGGAACAAATTAGTTTAACTGAAGAAATGTCCCTGATCCATTCACTGCCCCAAAACAACACAACTTTCTCTCTGATCCTCTGCATACCCAGTCCTCCCATGAAACCTTGTTTTAAAACCAGCCCAAGTGGGACACAGGAGTTTTGATGCTGAAGGTTTTCCCTTGAACTGCTTAGCAAAGTAATTTGCTTTTCAGAAACTGGTGGTGCAGAGATGAGATGAAACACAGAGGCAAATTATTTTTAGTGAGAGAAGTAATTAAGATCATGAATGTACCTTACTGCACACGTGCACTTCTATATTTATGTTCCTTTTTGTACCATCTAAAAGTTATGCCTGGCACATGTATCTTAAAATTAAATGCTGCATTATTTCTCCAAAAGAAACCATAATGGTCCTTTGTAAATAGTTTTATCTACTGTTGAGCATTTTACTAGTTTTGCTATGTTATACTATAGCATTTATTGTTTTACAAGTGTCAGCGTTCTCTGGTGGGAAATGCTGTAAAAAACATAGAAACTGAAATAATTTTTTCATCTACTGAATTTATAATAAACGTGGGACTCAACAGACAGTTACTCAAGCTGTAAGCCATTTGGTTTGTGTCAGGGGAAACGGGTTAATCAGGACAGCCTGCTGTTCTGCACTGGCTAAACTGAGGGAAACACACACAAAATTAAACCTCTTTCCCTCTCTATATGGGATTTTACAGCTAATGCAGCTTAGCAGATCGCCCAATGCTCCTCCAAACCTCCTCGCTGATCCTTTAGGGATCATGTCCCAGGAGAGCAAGGACAACATGCCTGGACAAAAGCATTTCTCAGCTCTGGGGATTTGCTCCCAAAGTGCCTGGGAGCTGTTTGGAAGTCAGTCCTGCTGGGCACCATCCTGCACTGGCTCTGCAATCTGGGGGACAGTGTGATATTCTTCCCCTTTCCCAGGACATCCCAGGTTGAACAGTTCAAGGCACTGAATGAGCTCCTAGCACAAAATCCCACTCACAGACTGATGGAGGAGTAGGGCACCAGGACACAGCTCAATGCCAACTAAATAAGGTTTCACTTTCACATGTACTTTACTTCAGCCCTTAGCTTTTCTCTTCTTTAAAAAACAAGAGATACTTAAATTTATAAACTGCAGGTACTTCCCCTGGCATTTCTGGCATTTTTGTATGCTGTACACAGTGAGATGGCTTCCTACAGTTATTCTGTCTTTTATTTCCTCTCGTCTCCTTGCATTTTTTGTTTGCCTTTCCCCTTCAGGCTCCTAATATTGCTTCACCTTCTGGGCATTTTCTGCCCTCAACGTCCTGGTAGTTTAAGTTCTAGGTCAGCAGCAAGTGTTGCCCTCTGAAGAGTTCATAGACTCTAAAAATGCCTTTTAGTAGGAGCATGAGTTTTCTTATTAACACTTTTAAGCCCATCTCTGCCAGAGTGAAGGGTACCTGACACCTGGAGATACCTGGGCATCCTACTTAGGGACACTAATTAACAACCAAAAAAACTCATTTGAATTTTTGTGAGGGGTTTTTTTCCCTATTGGATCTTGTCATGAATGCAGTCAGTGAGACATCTGCCTTGCCTGGGGGCAAAGAACAGCAGACCAGGGGCCAGAGGAAGGCTGGTTCCCAAATCCAAGGCTCAGCATACCAGGACAATCGTATGGGGGACCAGGGTTTGGATAGAGAGCCCGAGGCACAGCCCCAAGCAGGGACTCATTTTTAATCTGGGTCTCTGAAAAAGCTTCCTCTCGAGTCACTGTGCTGTCACAGGGGGATACATCCCCCTCTTTCAGCAGCACATATTTTCCAACATTTTGTCAGCTTCTTTCTGAAACAGAAACTGTCATTTTTATGTGATCTCTCCCAGTATCGTTAATGAATTACCAACACTGAGGTGGCATCTTACTGGTTATGGTGCTCTTTACTAAAGATTTCAGATCTCATTTTCAGCTTCCTGCTTATGTTTATTTAATTAAACTGATGACTGATTTCAGGGCAATAGTTGTTAAATGTTATTTTCCAATTCCCTTTTAGATATTTTGCCAATGAAAACCACATTACATTCATGGTGTGCACTACAGCCTTTGCTTATCCCATACAATATACTACATTTACTTCACGTTCACTGCATTTAATATTCATGTGGCCCCTATCTGAAGCAGAGGTGACCTTTTAGAAGGCTAAACACTCGTAATGTGAATAAACCTCCTCCTCTACAGCAGCAATTTGTGTGGGGTTTAGTGAGAAATGGGTAACACTTGCACAGATCGTTTTTCCACATGTAAATTATTATAATTAATACAGACAATAATTATTACCATAATGAATACTTTGAAAATTAAAAAAGTACCTCTGCAGTTCTTTGCCATTGGCCCTGTAGGAATTTTGGCACTCTCCTGATGCCACAGGCAGGAGCTGCGGGTCAGTGGTCCCAAGAACACTGGGCAATTCCCACTTTGCTGGCTGGGGGTCAGAAGCCAATTTATAAAGTGTTCCCCAGGGTTGTGCAGCTGCATGAGCTTCTGGTATCCCACTTTGCTCACTCACTACACATTCAGCAAGGGAAAGTGACAGTAATGCATTAAAACACTGCTGGAGAAGAGCTGTAATATTTATCTGATTATAATTATTTCTCTATATATGTACAAACACTCTCAAGCATCACTTTACCCATCACTTCAGATTACCTGGTCATGTCTTCAAACAACTACTTAAAAATAACAGTTAAAGTCACTAACTATTCAAAATATCAAAACCAGCAAATTTTGAATGCTCATCTGAGAAGAGACAAGATTGGCACTGGGGGTAATACAAGATGCAATTACAGGTAATGCAAGAGAGATGGAGGAAAAAGGATTACGGATATGTGGAAGGAAGCCAGGAACTGATATGTGGGAGTTTGTGATGTCTACTAACAGTTTTCTTTGATGAATATATTATTAGACAACATTTAAACACAACTTAATAATAGCTGTATGTCAAAATTATCCTAAAATGAATTGCTTCCAGTCTAGCAAGTTAATATTAATTTAAGGCCAAAGCAACAATTCAAGAAAGTTTCCAGAGACAATGCGGAAAAATAACAACATTGCTGAAAATGTTTCAGTGCCATGATACTCTTCTAAGTTTCTCCTCAGTGGAGAGTCTTTGAAACAGTCAGCAGTACAATATGGCAGCTTAGAAACACTCCTTCAAACAGGGAAAATGAAAGGCACAACCTGAAGAAGGTGAGAGATGCATTTGACACTTGTGTCTGTTTTCACATGGGCTTCTCAAACTACCTCAGCAATAAGCACTAGATTAAGTAAAGCCTTACAAGTGCTAAAGCTGAAAGGTATGGAAACCAAAAAGAAAGGGAAGACAGTTTATGGCCTCCAGGCAGAGTTAAATTCTGGCAGATTAAATTGGAGTGAAAACATCTTGTCAATTAATTAGTGCCTTTATTATTTTAACTGACGCTCTGCTGCCCCTGAAGGTAAATAGCTTTTAAAGACCAAAACAGGAAAGCAAAGCTCCTCCCTGAAAACCCAGTGGGCAGATTTGCCTGAGATAAAACTGCAGAGGCTGCTGAGCACCAGTGATTTATTGAGAAGGGAACAGACAGTGTAGGACGTAGAGGGGCTGGAAGGAGTGGGACATGCCAGAGGAGTTGTCTTAGTGAGGAGCTGCTCATCAAAGGCAGGGAAGGTGGCCTTCCTGGTGCAGGAAGGTGAGCTGTAAAATAAATTGTAGCAATTGGAAGTAGCCAGAACAAGCAGAAATGCAGGGTCTGAGTGGGAATTGCCCAAAACCTGATGGTAACAGAACTGACACTGAACCGTATTGTGCATTATTGTAAGTGCAAGAGCCAGCTTAGCAGCAAGACACTCCTACAAAGTGGGCATCTGAAGAGCCATCCAGAATGACTGATCATTGCTTCCCAGGCAGCCTGCAACAGAGGGCTGTGATCTAAGATTGGGGTTTTTCAAAGTTTCTTCAGACACAAGTTTCCTGAAGTTTGTTAAGTACGTGCACAAAATGCACCCAACACCAGAACCTTCCAGAAAAGAAAAGGCAGGTTCTGCAGACAGTTTTTCAGAATATGACACTCTCCTGTGTTTGTGTTGAACTAACTCCCAGTTTGGTGCTGGGGAAATTGAGCTGCTGGAAAGGCAATCTTTCTTTTAAGAAATACAACCAAAATCTTAAAATTTATTTTTAAGTGATTACATCATGATACTTTAAAAGAAAGAAAGAAACAAGACTTTTAACCCCAAGGTCTTGGCCAGCTTGCATTCTGCCTCACCAAAAGTTTCAGCAGAAGTGATTTCTCCTGGGCTGTTGGATGTGTCAGGAGGGGAGAGCAGCCAGCCCCTGGCTGGCAGGGATGCTCCCCTCCCCACGGCTGACAGCAATTTGCCCCATGCTCAGCAGTTTTGGACCTCTAAAGTGAAATGAATCAGCTGTAAAACTGGTTTAACAAACTGGATAAACCAGGCTTAAGGCTGCACAGACACCAGCAGCTCCAGCAGAGGCACTGGGTAATGACCATGCTGGTAACAGGCTGAGAACTGAGAAGGACAGAAGAAAAAGGGATGTATCTGAAAGCCAAAGAGAAAACTCTCAGCAGGGTTGCTTCCTTGCTGGAACAGCAGCATTGGTGTTTGGAGCCAGGGAAAAGCAGGAAGACAAACAGAAGCCCCACAGATGGCTGCAATGCTGTGCAGAAGCTCGGGGGGAAAGGTGGGAAAAGAGACAGCCCAGCCTCACAGAGGGAAAATCCAAAGGGATGAATCCAAAACACAAGGAAATGCAGTGTCAGTTCTCTACCAAGGCTGGCAACAGGTTACTGTGTGCATGCTGCCAAAAGGAGCAAAAGAACTATTTTTCATTAAAAACAATAAAGTGATGAACAACACTAAGGAAGCCTTAGCTCCTTCTTCCCAAACAAGACTCCACAGAAGTAGATGCAGAACAAACCTTGAGGTGATATCCAGGCTGGCAATGAGCTGTCTTGGCTCTCACCATCCTGCTCTCATTTGAGTCTAATTCCAGTTCCTTTCTTCAGTCTTCTGCTGGTTTTGTTCATTTTGCCTACATATTTTTCAGAGCAAAAGGATGGTGGTGTTGCAGCTGTGGCTTAACTGGGTCTGGAATTTGCTCTCCCCACACACTGCTGTAACACAAAAAATTATTTGTGACAATGATATGCAAGTGTCTTATGGATGATCCATCCCTGGCCAAAGATGAGGTGCAAACCTCCATTTTCAGGCTTCCAGATTTCTAAATAGCATCTGATAACAGTGAGCGATGCAATTGCCTTGCTTTCAATATCCCAGAGGGACAATCTCCAGCAAGCCCACAACTAACTCCACTTTTGACCACGTGAAAGGGGTTTTGTTTTCTGTTTTGTAGAGATTTTACTGTACCTGATGGAGAGCTGGGCACTAAGCAGGACGTGCACAAAGGCTGGGCTGCACAGTAACATAAGTGAAGTCAGAAGCTCAAAGAAGCTTCAGCACATTCAGTATCCGAGCCTGGGCTCTTTCAGTGCCTGGGTACAGTTGTTACACAAGCAGACAGCCAAGTGCAAACATTGAGCTGTGAAGTGTCTCGCTACTTGCCAGGTCTTCCCACTGTGCAAGAGTTTACATCACAGTACATTTAATTACAGTGTTTTGACTAGAACCAGCTTTTTCCTTTCAGCCAAGCAGAGAAGTAACAGAGTAATTAAAAAAGTAATGAAAACTCAGTAAAAATTCCTTAAACCAGGGACCACATTCAGTTGTGATTTCAAAGAGCATATGTTAAGGAAGACTCCTGCTCACTGTCATTCAGCAGGTTGTTAAAAAGTTTCAAAAATGAAATAAAAGTTAATGCAAGTTACGAGGTTTATTCTTCTGTGTGAATTTTTAACTATCTTTCCTATCTGAAGCACAAGTAGGGAGCACAAAACACAGTCAGAGCAGTAACTTAGAGAATTTCATCCCGTGGCTTACAAAGTTATTTTATGCAAAAAACCATGTTGGCGTCAATGGAAGAATTTGCACAGCCAGAACATGGAGGTGACAGAATTCAGACCCAAAGCTTTCAAATATTGGTTACACTTACAGGTATCTGCTTTGCAGGAAAATCTTCCTAGGAAGTGTGGCTGATATTTCAGCATGCCAGACTCACTGCATTGAAAAGCAGTGAAGAAAGCTTCCTTTCATGGCATCAGGAGGTGGTGAAAAGATGATGGTAATTTAAACCATCATCACAAAATGTATCCAGCCTTATGCAGATAGTCTTGTGAATTTACTTTTGCTGTCAAAAGATTGTTTTTAAAATAAGCCTTGACTCAGGATAGTATGTAAAATAACATTTTAGACTGCAATTTTTAGGCAGTAATCAAAGACCTATTCCTTATTTGCAAAGTCCTAGTACTTCAAAACATTAATTTAGTCTAGTGTTTCTTTCTTTTATGGGAATTTATAAAATATTATATAGGAGAAACATAGCAATCAGGCTCAGCCCAGAAAATAAAGGGCTTTTAGGCCCTCTAATGAGTTGTGTAAGAACAGTGTACTGCAAAAAGTCCTGCATGTCATACATCTCTCCCTCATTGTAAAACACTGTTCTTAGATTTTATTGCAGCCAAAACAACTTCATCTTTTTAATTAAAAAAAAAAGGTTTCTGATTTCACTACACTTGTGTAGGACAAATATATTCTGAGTTCTTGAAATCATGTTGCAGCACCAGTGAATTAAAAGAGGCAGGAGTGAAAGTGTATGGAAGGGACAGCCCTGATGCTCACTGGTGCCAACTGATGCTTTCTCACACATCACAAAGTCTCGAAATAAAACATCATCTTAAAAGTATAAAATCTCAAATTTTCCCAGAAAACAAACACCATTCCACACTCCCAGAGTACCTGGAGGAGGGTGCAGTGTCCTCATGCCTGCCATCCCCTCCCACTGCTGAGCACTGCTGGAGCTGGGGACCTGACTTGGGCCTTTATGCATCACCCACAGCCCAAAAAGAGGGGCCTCAACCGGTCTGTACTCTCACAACCCTGCAGAACTGCCCAGCTTTGGGTGACAAAGCCACCTCAGCTGTCAAACTGCTTTGCCTTCTTACACTTTGTGCTAAAAGTGTCCCAGCTATTTGTGACACAGGGCAGAGAAGTGGCACAGAATAAACAGGATGTGTTTAGGACTGTCAGACTCCAAGTCTAGTAGCCACTGAATAAAGAATAATTTTAGTTTATGGTTTTGCATCTGTTCTTAGAAAAGATGAATTTCTGCCCCATTTGGATGTGATTTGTTCTGTTTTGTTTGGTTTTTTTAAAGATGAAGTGATGAATACAGCAGGTCAGATCTGAAGATACCCACACACTATTCCAAGTAAATGCTATTTCACTCACTCAGCTGCAGTGAACAGCTTTTCCTAGCAGGGCTGGCTTCAAACACTGCACACTTGTAACAGGATAAATCCCACCATTAAAGAGGTTTAGCCCAGCTATGATTGTCAAAACCTGTCTATCACAAGGTCTGCTTCTCCACTACTCAGAGAATTAACAATGAA